ATTTTACCAAACATTCATTTGCCAGGTTGTTTTTGGTTCAGGGCGCAGCTGGGATTTCTGCACCTTGCAACTTTTCTGTTCTTTCGCAAATTGATTGTAATTTAGTGCTTTTGCATGAAAGACATTAAAACCCTGCTGAGGAATTGCTCAAATGTAATGCATTTCTTTGTTCGCAGGCGAAAAACCGTTCAAATGCGAGTTCGAAGGCTGTGATAGGAGATTTGCTAATAGTTCCGATAGGAAGAAGCATTCGCATGTACACACATCGGAAAAACCGTACAATTGTGGCGAACCTGGCTGTGATAAGGCGTACACACACCCGTCTTCCCTCAGGAAGCACATGAAGGCTCATCCGGGTAATCGCCGATCGCCCAATCGCTCATCGGATGGCGAGGACAGCAGCGTGTCCAGTAACGAGTCCTTGCCGGGGGGAAGTCCTCATGGCCAGATCGTCGGGAATGTCCGGCAAACGGTCTCCGAAAATGCTGCTGCACATTGGTACTGCCACCCGGACAACCCTGGCCTGCAGAGTGACCGACTAACCCCGATGGCTCCACCGTACAGTGGGTTGCACGGACAGGGATCTCCCTATTGAGTGGTTAACTGCTAAATGCCTCAGGAATCATCCTATGCACACTATGCACACTGGCAGTGTTTTGATTGGGAACTTTATGAACAGTTCCAAAAGTGCTAAATACCGTGTGCTATAAGATAAGTTAATATAGTTTATATACAGAAGGTGTCCCGATATACACAGGATGTCCCAAGACGGATCTCTGGATCTCGGTTTTCTGGATTTATTTGTCGCAAATATCAATTCAATATCAAGCTGTTGTATTAAATAAATTCAATAAATATTATGGAAATATTTTCCTGGCGCTCATGACTCATTGTAGACCGTACCGATTTTTTATTATTTTTAGCTTGGGAAATGATCTCTCCGCAGTTGCTACAGAAATCGGTATGGTTAGTAGTATACGTATAGCAATGGTACCATTTGGGAACGAATGAGTTAAATTATTTTCTATGATCTAATTAGATAAACCACTTTGATTGAAACGATGTAGGAACTGCACTTTTGCAAAAGTTCGACCCCGTTTATGTCTTTCTCATTCCGATTGTTATCAGCTAACCTTCTTCAAGTTTATTTCAAACTTTAAATTGCTCTTGCTCAGAATACTAATTAAAATCAGCAATGTCCCACAAAAATTGAAGCGCATCCGAGTGAGAGGACAGAAGTTTGAATCTGTCATTTACAGATGAAATTGCAATGTTCATAAAAACATTTAACTTTAAACTTTAATTCTTCACTTTCTATTGGTTCATCTATGCCTTCGTAATCAAATTGTCTTTTTATTTTTCGCGTTCTTACAGTTTCCAGACTCTTAAATATTGGTTCTACATCTAGGAAAGATGCTAATTCTTTAGCTTCTACAACTATGTCATTGGAACCTTTATCAAATCGATATTAGATAATTAAGAAGACACGATTCCACGTCAGGACAAAAACAATACAAAACACATGTCACAGTTCACAAATGGTGTTTGGACAAAAAAATGTTGGTCACACTATTATTATTAGATATATTATATTATTATCATATATACAAGGTTATTCACGCTATACGGCACGGAAGTTTGCGGCTAAACCGTTTGATTTTAAAAAGTATTATTTTATGAATTGTCCGACGCCTACGGAGCGCACATTTTAAAAATATTTTTGTAATGTAGAGGGTGTCCCAAAAGCTCTAAAGGTATCAAAGTTGCGTTTTTTTAAATGGAATGTCCTGTATATTATTGCATTCGCTGAACAAAATAAGTGTCTGTTTTAATAAGGTTTATGATACCTAAATCTTAAGGTTTTTTAAATAATACGAATTTAATCAAAATCTAATCTAATTTTCACGTGTCAAATTCTTTAGAAGTATTTAAGTTATGTAAGCGTAATTTATAGTGAAGTGTAACAAGATATAATATTTTATATCCCAATGATAATAAACTTACCATGTTATAGAAGGTGTCCACAAATTTAAACTAATCAAATGAGAACTTTAAGTGGCTCTAACTTGATTAATTTAAATACAACCCCATATTTTTTAACTTAGGATGTTAATAGCTAAGTTTTTGCCTTTTTACAAAATACGTCAAATAGTTGTTCTGTTTTAAAATGTGCACGCGATAGGCGTCTGTGGATTCATCAAATAATACTTTGCAAAAACAAACGGGCTAGCCGCAAACATCCGTGCCGTATAGCGTGAATAACCCTGTATATATTAGGCATATTAAACTTTTTGGTTTGCAAAATTTTACTAACAGTATTAACTACTACTAACTGTACAAACAGTAATAATTTAATATGCTGTACCACACACAGTACGGTGGAGTATTTTCGCTTCTCTTACCTTGTAGATAAACATTTTCCTAACACTTTCTTAGTGGTGTTTGCTGCGGAAAATCGTTTTTCTATCATTTTCTGCTCATTTAAAGTTCACCAATTTCGAGGCCATTTAAGCTATTTAATCAACTTTTCGTTCGATTTTGTAGTTTTGGTAGTTTCATTTCCCTTAAACTAATCATTTTGGGTTAGTTTGGCTTAGAAATAGCTTTCCTTTTCAGTAAAATAATACAATTTTATTATCTAATACAACGCCTTTATAACGCTATTTTATCAAAGCGTATCTTTGACCAATTAGTCAATTTATTATTTCACAAATCTACGGTCTTTGTTGAGCCCTTTGGAGCCTTTGGACAGAACGGAAGAGTTAAAAGAGCTCCACAAAATTAGTTATATATTGTAATTCCTATTGCCCGCCAAATGCTTATGTGCAATTAATTTATTATATAAATGTACGGTAATTTCGATATTTATTTGCCACTTTTATTTAGAAAATTGTTTCATTTACCTAAATAACTTACATTCATAGATTGGCATCATGTAAATATTAAAGAAAATACTCAATAAATATATTTTTGTACTTTTATTTGTACAGGGTGGCAAATGAAAGTATTTTTATTTAAAATATAATTTTCGAATACCTAATGGAAGCAAGATGTCGACATCCTTGGTCAAGTAATGTATATAGAATAGACGATTTATTTAACCACAGCATACATGAAACGTATGTCATCTCATCATTCCTACTACCTACAATATAATACACTATTAATAGTCGCAAAGTTAATATTAACACATATTCTAAAGCTTGCACCTACACATACATACATATACGATACATGCAAATATTCCCGCTCTGAGTAAAAAGAAGTGTCAGTAAAAAGATGATCTAAACAAGGAGTTTTTCAACACTGTAATGGCTGAGGACACCATTCCATATGACTGTATAAAATCATTATGCATATTATACATATACGGGGTGGTCCTCAACTTATGGGACAAAATTCCCCGACATACAGGGTGTCTGACGGTCAGCGTCCATTAGCATATTTCGGGACGTAATGCTATTCGAAACCCGCAAATTTAGATAATGGAATAATGATGAAACACCCAAATGTCTGTGTACTTTAGTGTGGGAGATGCAAATTTTTAAGTAAGCGGGAGCAATTGACTGTGACCATCAATTTTGTGAGTCACATTTACAGGATTTTTACGAAACTTTGCAGGTCTATAGGGTTAAGTGTCTACTAAAGATGGTCAAAGATGCAACTGCAGAAAACGAGCGCAATTATTTTTTTTCAATAATTGTTTATCCAATAATTGTGATTCACGACTTGCGTAAAATTTTCAATAAAATATTTCGATTTTCTGCTCCAAAAAGCATTAAATGCATCTAAAGTTTGCCTAAAGTACAACAATTCTAAATATTTTTCGACACTTAAATGCATCTGGCGTTTACATAGTGTGAAATATTTTTGGCTTAGAAATTGGATATCCGGCCTTCAAACCCTCATAACTTGCCAGTTTTCGAACCGAGCTTAGTTTTCTCAACCGGAATTTTTAGGGAACATCAACGCAGTTTCAGCACTCAAATCGTACTAAATCCTACATTTCTTAACCGATTTGAATTGCCTGAAGAGTCGGTTTTAAAGAAGATTGTGCTTTTTACAACCCAGTCGTACCACTAGTACTGCCAGAGGGGGCCAGGATTAAGAGAGTTGTTGAGAAAAAAACGTATACAGCCAAAAATATTTTTTTCAAATATTCGGATTTTCGGCCTCAAATGCCCTGGAATTTTGTTAGCAATGGCAACATTGCTATTATCTTGCTTTCGCTGAATTTCAAATCCATCTGAGGCCAGTATTAAGAGAAATACGCGAAAGATTCAAAAATCGAACAAGAAAACTTTGAAAATTTTCATTTTGACAGCTAAAGTTTTTCGAATAAATAACGAAAAATTGAAGAAATTTCAAAAACTGTTGGAAAATTGAAACAGAAAGTGTCACTTTTGAACAGACTCAATAAGTGAATAATTTGACAGGTTCTCGCAATGTTGCCAATGGCTCCCAGAATTCCAAGTTTTTCCACGTTTTCTTGACCGAAAATAAAAATTGTAATTTTTTCGCTTTGAGATTTCGAGATTCAATCTTTCGTCTTTGAAAGGATTTAATTTAGGGGGAATTAAAATTTTCAAAAAAACTATATTTTGCTCAGAGACAGCTACAGAGTGGGGTCGAAAAACTTTCCCCAAAGTTACTGAAAATACAGAAAGGAACACAAGCAAAAACGTTCCGTTTGAAATAAGGAAGTTGGAAACAACCTTAACAAAAAGTACACATTTTTTATTTAGGAAATACCGGACATCGGGATACTGCCAAAAAAAACAGCGATATTTCAAAGCGCAACAAATGTCTAATGCTTTAAATGTCTCTAAATCTGAGGTTAGAATTAGAATTAGAGGTGGTGGAACCTCTGAAGATGCGAGCCGCTCGTGCTTGCGAAACGTCAGGAAGAAATTCTATTGTACGACGACCTAAAAACCCGAAAAACTCACAAGTTTCATTTATGTTTATTCACTAATTGACCAACGATTGATGGTGTCATTGCATTGCAGGATTAGTCAAAAATCGTAAGTCCGTGTGGAACCGCCTCTGGCACGATGCACGAAAAATATTGTAAAAAGAATTTTATTGTAAATAAAGCTGTCGCCATCAGGGATTTCTGTATATTCTGGCAAACGCCGAAAGTTTACAACAAATAATAATAAATAAAACCTGACTGATGTAGTTTGAGTGTTTTATTTAGCCATCCGTCCGTAGAAAAATAAACCAAAATTCGATTTGGTGTAACCCAGGCATGCTGTGCGAGCTGGAAATTAAATTAGTGTGAACTTGTAAACCAGGTGCGTATGGAACGGATGCGGTGCGAATATCTCGATGAAAATGATGTTCGTTCAAGGCGAGTTTGTGGTGAACTGCTAAAACACTTTAACAAACAGCAGAACGAGAAACAGGAACCTGGTGGCTCTGATATTCGCGAAATCAACTTCCATATCGAAAATCTATGCAAATGGTACTGCAGGTACTTTTAGGCGAGGTCAGGACTTGCGGGTCAACCGCAGGAATGCGCCTTATTAACATTATCATTTCATTAACCGATCGGGATCATTTATAATCCGGGCTGTCACTCCGGAGCAGCATTGTTTCCCGACCTTTTTCATTTTAAATTTGACGGAGGGAAAAACAATCAGTTACACCATGTGAACATGAACGTTTCGTACCCGATCCCCGATCCGAACAGGTATAATGGAGTTTTTGTCTTTTTAATGCGGCTGCCAGGTTTTGATAAACGGTATGCGAGTAATCTGAGGATGGTGACGGCGATTTCTCCACTGCTTGTCACAGAAATCTCCAATCTTCAAGTGAAGAGACACATACAGGTGTTAGTCGTTTGGGAATTGTTGCATATTTTGGCA